GCAGGGACTGCACTGCTGAGCTGTATCATGGGCCCCTCTATTTTCCCTTTTGCGACAGGATCTCGCTGAATTGCCTGGCCTGGGCTTGAACTTTCAAACTTCTTGCCTCAGCCTCCCAGAGTTCTGGGACTATAGGTGTGTGCCACCAGCCCCTGCTTAAATGATGGGAGGAATGCCAAAGAATTTAAAAATCAATCTCACCATTTTTGGCTCTATGAAGAAAGGAGGATAGGGAAACTAGGTGTCCACATATGTATTCAGGCATGTGCCAGAGACTGTGCTCAACATTTACAAATAGTTTTGCTTTGAAATATTTGAAACTGAGAAAAAAACCAAACACAAAACCTCTGTAAGGTAACTATTCTCTCCATTATATAGACTGGGAAATGAAGGTTGAGAGCATAGTTCTGTACCCCATTTGAAGGACCCCTATCAACCATCATTCGATATAGCCCCTAATCCCAGGGTCATTAAGCATACTTCTGGAAATCAGAATGTTTTTCTGTTGAAAATAGAATAGTGGTCTTTTACATTAAAACATTAAAAACTGACATGTATATTAAATCATACTTTCCCATTAATAATAATTTTTAACAATCCTTTGTGGATTAGCATTAAAATTTTTTCTAAGTGAATAAACAGCACAAGAACAGCTGATAATCTTGGAAAGAGCTGATCTTATTGGGCAGTTTTCATGGATACACATTCAAGACAGTTGAAATTATTGCAAAAGTCATTTTCTGGTGCTAAAATTGTTTTGGTTTCTGTGATTTAATCATTGTTTCCTGGCATTCTGCATTGGCACCATGATTTTCTGCTGCTTTATGTCATTCACAAAAGGTGGCAATTCCCAATTTGCTTTGGCTGGTGCCCTGAATTTCCCTGATGAATCAGTGGAGAAATGCCATAAACTATTTTTTTGTTGTTGTTTTTTGCTAGTAATACTATACCAGCAGTAAAAGTCTAGCTTTTAACTTCTGTTAAAATGCTTACATTTGGTGCAGGATATGAATGTTTCCTCTTTCACAAACACCAATCCCTAATTTTTTCTCTTCTATATGGAATAAACATTTTCCCCTTGAAGTAGTTCCAAGATTACAACCTTGCTTCCATCCTGGATGGTCTAGAGGTTAAGAATTGGAAAAGTCGACGAATTTAGGAACAGAGTTCAAGGATACATTTCTAGAAAGCTGATAGATTCCTGCATCATTCCTCTACTAGCAGATTATTAATTTCATTGGTTTTTCTCTATTTCTACTGAGTTTACAGATCACTTTTACTTCTCAGATGGATTACTTCAATGTTTCCTTATGATTTCCATTTTGTTTCTTCTCTATCTTTACCCAATCCTTCCATTCCATTGTTCTCCAAACAGATGTCAGAGTCATTTTTTTTTTAGGACAAGGTTTTGTTACTTGGTTAGGCTGGCCTTGGTTTCAAATTCGTTATGTGGCCCAGACCTTGAACTCATGATCTTCCTGTTTCAGCTTCCTGTTTCAGCTTCTGCTGGTGTGCGCCATGTTGCCTGGCCTGAGCCATTTTTTAAAAGTATTTGTCAAGGTACTTCCAGCTTAAATTTTGCTTTATATTATTCTTAGGATAAAACACAAAACCCTTAATGTGGCCATCACGAGCAGCCTCAACTCTCCACACTGGAGCATACTACTCTCTGCACTTGTGTCCTGTCTTCTGAGCAGCAGGGCATTCCATCAGATCCTGAAGCCTCTGGAGCTCTTTGCTCTAGTTTGGGCATTTTGCTAGGAATGCTTGTTCACCCAGCTACCTAGTCCCAGAAGCTTGTCCTTAGTCCTTCTCCCTGTCTATGTTCTATTTTTCTTAAGTTTTACTGGTGTTATTTCCTCAGGTTTCTTCTGACAGCTCCCATTCCCCTATCCCAGCCAAACATCAAAATTAGGTTTCCCCTTATTCTCTTTTGACCGATGTTCTCTTATCTTAGGGCTCTCTGTTCTTTCCTTCAGGGCACTAACAGTTTATTTCAGTAAACACCAATATATTGTCTTCTATTTGCCAACACTTTGCAAACAGATGGCACAGTGCCCAGCATGCATTAGGTGCTTGATGAAGATCTACTGGATGAACAAGTGATTGAACTCTTTTTTTTTTTGAGACAGGGTCTCATTATGTAGCTTAGGCTGGCCTCAAACTCATTCTGATACTCCTGCCTCAGGCTCCCAAGTACTGGGATTACAGGCATATGCACCACCACACCCGGCTACTTCTTAGTTCTTGTACTTGATTCTCTCCAATCCTCAAAGTAGTCCTTGAAACTGAAAGTATAATATCTTTGAACTATAGTAGTAGGCACCAATAAAAGTTGTGTAATCTTAGTCAAAAAAGGCAACAGATGTTTTATTCTTCAATGCAAATTACTATATTCACCACAAGCTAAAGAGAACATATATCTCTATGTGTATATATATATATAATTTATATATATATTTGGATTTATGGAAGACTAGACATGGAAAAATCCAGCACCCCAACAAGTACAGCCAGGAAGGAAATCAGCACTATAACAGGATAGGTTTAATAAACTACAAATAAGAAAGGGTGGTAAGGAAGGGAAAAAAATGTGCATTGAATTTAAGACACTGTAAAACTCAGAAGACATATTTACTATTCAAGTATAAACTCAGTAAGGACTTGGCATAAATTGAAAGGCAGCTGCTGAGGTACACCATTATAAAATAAGTTTATGAATTTACAATTCTACCTTCCAATTTTCTGGGAGAAAAAAACCAAACTCTTGAAGGTCTTCACCAGAGACCCTGAGAGGGATAAACACTTTTGATGAAGACATAGTCAACAATCCATGATTGAATTCAATATTCAAAAACATGTATTTATTTAAAACAACAGTAATACGTGTTCTCAGACTGTCCTTTAGACTATTAATTCGAGAGTTTCAAAGTATATTACTTCCAAAAACAATACTGATTAAAAAAATTTTTTAAACAAAAAACAAAAAACCTGATTTGATGGTACCTTAAAAATACCCTAAATACCGGCCTAACATTGCAATTAATTTAAGAATTCCTCCTGCATTGGTAAAACATTTTTTTCCTCACAAAATGTGGGTACTGAAATTGGATAGAAACACCATGAATGTGAAAATACCACCGATTTTCTGCAGTTAAAAAAAACTAGAATGTTCTTTGGAATCACTGAAATATAAAAAAATTTGGGTTTTTTTTTCTACAGTCTATGCACCTTCTTTCAGGTTCTCCATGTTGCTTGTAGGATTGACTTGTGTGAACCTAATTTTATAGATTCAAGTCTTACAGTGCAACCTCCACTGGTGTGTGTCTCTGACCAGTGAGAAGTATGCTTAACCCAGAAATGCTGTCATTTCCTTCTCCATCATGACTTCTCCCCAAAATAAAAACTTTAGACTATGACACAAAAACATCCTGTGTTAAACGATCAAATGATGAACACAGCATGGAGAATTCCGGTGTGGTTTCGGCACTCAGGAGGGCATTGTCTCCCACTGTTTTTCATGGAAATACCACAGGCCTGGCTGCTAGCATTCAGCTTTTCTTGGCCTTAAAGAAATTTCTCAGGGCTGGCAAGTTGGATTAGAGTCTAAAAGAATTTTGTCTTTGACAAACTACCGTATTTTTAGCATAAAATCTGGCCATGGCTGTAAGTTTCAATGTGCGTACAACTGATTTGAGATTTTTTTCTCTGTTTTTCTTTTTGACATTGGCTGGAATTGAGTAGAAATAAGTCCGTGATGCATCTTCACAGGTGTCATGAAATATGAGAAATCTGTCTGACTCTAGACACTATTTCTTTACGACACAATGGGCAGGTCTCCAGTTGCAAGGCACAATCCATGCACAGGTCACTGAGGAGAAAGACATGAATGCCAATCAAGTTAATGCCTCAAAAAGTCAAACTCTACCTAACTACATGTAAAATGTTAAGAAGTTAAAGAAGTTGCTCATGAGGAAGAAAGCCTTAAGAGCAATTTGCCTAAAAGTTCACAAATAGCATTAAACGTTTTTTACAGTTTGTAAAGCCAAGATTATATAAAAAATATAACATTGAATAAAAAAAACCCAAAAAACCAAAGGCCTTCTTTATCAACCAGCTTCTATTTGAAGTACTTTCTAGAAGACAGCCAGGAACTACTTGGCAAACTAATTCCTCATTTAGCCCATTTTAGCTGCAACAAACCTTGATGAACAGTATAGAACTGCCACTACTCTCAGAGCAGTTCAAGAACAGGATGAAATGTTGCCTGATATACAAAAATGAGACAAACAGATTTTCTTACCTGTGGCCACATGGCTTCAATTGTGTGTCTGCTACCTCATCGCAACAAAGGGAGCAGCAGTTTTCTCGGATACTGACTTGCTTCAGCAGAGCAAGACGCCTGTGCCTAAGTAGACGAAGCAGTTTGAAATTCATATTGTCAACAAGAGGGGCTGTTAGCAGAGATTCATAAGAAATACTTTCAAAATGCTCTGTATATGGGTGATACACTACTCCTTAAGCTTTGTTCAGGGAAGCTGTCATATGTGTTATCTTGTTTTAATCTTAGGAGTGAAGAAGGCAAGGGCCTTCTCATTTTGATATTCTCATTTTATGAAATGCATTCTAATTTTACAGACAAAAATGTTTAAAGAAATTATTGCATAAGGTCACATATGGTAAATAGTCAAGAGTCAAATTCAAATCCTTTGGTTCTATATCTAGTGCTCTTTTCATTTTATCAGCAAATTTCAACCTCTGAAATTGCATATCTCTAAAAGACTGATGAAAAGCATAGAGCCTTTTTTAAAGAAAAACAAAAACATGGAAGTTTTTATAGTTTCAAGGGGTTGTGAACATTCAATACAGACTCCCTGCAAGTCCAAACACTTCAGGTTAGAGCCCTTCACTACACCTTGACCAGCATGGGACAGGAAAGTGGCCAGCCAGAACTGCTCTGCTGAAGCTACCTCCCTGAGAGTGGACATAAGAAATAGGAAAGATCTGTTCAATTCACGTATGGGCTTACTATAGGTCAGGCACTGTCCCAAGCAAGCACTGGTGATTTAGCAGTGCACAGAGGACTGAAAAAGTGTCCTTGCCTCTAGACAGCTTAAACTCCAATCAAGGGAGACAAGTAACTAGATAAATTTTAAAAAGGTACACAGACTGTTAAATGCTGATGAATACTATGAAGAACAGGTGTGTGTATACGTGTGCACATGTGCAAGAGAGAGGAGAGGGAGAGAGTTACTGAGAGTGACATATATTGTGTGTCACTATACTATTTTTTTTCTTCTTTCAATGCATTTGAAGTTTTCCATAATGAAAAGGTTAAGAAAAAATAGTGAGTGGAAGGAGAATTAGAGATATATATACAATATGTATATTGTATACAATATACAATAGAGAGTATATACAATATAGAACAATTTATAAAATTCCAGGTAGTAGCACTACTGTTCCAATGAATAAAATGTCAGTAAAAAGGTAACACTGAATATAAATTTTTGGGACACAGGGTGAAAGTATTAATGGCCTAGAAAATGGCCCTATGTAGGTTCACACTCAATGCCCCTATTTGTAACCTCCTTTTAACTGGACTTTTAAGAGAAGCAAGGTACCAGTGGTTACCCTGACAGAAGTTATGCAATTAGGCCCCTAACAATTCCTGTCTCAGTGTCACTGTCAGTGAAAACAGTCTAGATACAACATAGGATTGACCTAGCTTGTAATATTTCTGTTTGTATTCAAGACAAATCAGGATGCCAAATTTATATACACAGTCACTAAGACAGTATGTATAAGCCAGCCATAAAAGGCAATTTTCTAAGAAATGATACTCACTGTCATCTGGGGTTTAGAAAGCTTTCATCTACAGGCACAGTTAACTAGGTGCTAAAGCAATCTTGACTAAGGCTACTCTTCAGAGTAATTCTTATTTTTAAAATTTACTTATTTGCTTACCTACTTATTTGTGGTACTGGAGGTTGCGCCTAGGGCCTTGTACAGGTAGGCAAGTGCTCCACCTCTGAGCTATATCCCTAGCCCTTTTTAAAATTTTGAGATAGGGTTTTTTTTTTGGTCTTTTTGAGACAGGATCCCGCTATACAGTTTAGGCTGGGCTTGAGCTCACTTTGTAGCCCAGGCTGGTCTCGAACTCACAATGATCCTCCTGCCTCAGCCTCCCGAGTGCTGGGATTACAGGTGTGTGCCACCACACCCGTGAGGTAGGGTACTGTTAAATCACTAAGTTGCCCAGGCTGGGCTTGATCTTGTGATCCTTTTGCCTCAGCCTCCCACAGTGTTGGGTTACAGACATGTGCCACTGCACCCAGTTCGAGGGAACTCTTAGATGGATCAGTTGAACCTTTTGGGTAATCAGTAGGCATCATTCAAGGAAAGGGCAGGCTAGATATAAAAGTAATAGAGTATGAGAGGTAAGACAGGCATTTGCCTTAGACTTTCATCAAAAGGAAAGTTCAGAACTTCTGTCAGGCACCAAGACAAACTGAATGGAAATTCTAGGAAAATACTTCAGATCCCTGAGCTGGGATATAAGTGGCCTTTATGTTCTTGGGATATTACCAAGTCTCTGCTGTTATAAATAATGCTGCTGTTTTAGCTTATCTGCAAACTGTTGAGCCATGAAGACATGAAGTCCAAGATGAAGCACAGCCCAGAGGGCTGCTTAAAGACTTGAATTTTGAGCCAAAATAGGAGCCAGCATTCCATTATATTAAAGGTGCTTTGAGTGGCACAGAAGTCCAGCACTAGCTATGCCTTGGCCAGTATGATTTCCTTGGCATTAGTGGCATCATGTGGCATTAGTAACAGGAATACCCTGCCTCATACAGTCTCAGGCAGCTGCTCTGTTAAAAAAATGATAAACTTTGGCTCACAGTATATAACAAGCTTCAACTTACAGTAATTAGCAGGAAGCAGCTGGAGTCTTTTCCCAGCTGAAGGAATAGACTGTATTCATCTTGTAAGGAAGACAAGCAGGCATTCATCCAATGAGACAGTTAATGCCAATCACAGTTTTTGTTAAATAAAGGCAGTGAAATTTTATCCAAGATGGCATTACTACTGCCCCAATAGTTGTGGAACAGTACTGGTTTGGCATCTTTGCTAATACAGCTAAAACCCAAAAGAAGCTGGTTTCAATAAACTTAAGTCTGTTAATAGATGTACTTGCTTTCCTGGTATTCAGGGATTTTTACACTAGCATTAAGATGAAGTTAGTCTGCAGTGTGTGTGTGTGCATGTACCATACTTTTCTGATTTTTATACCAACATTATTTGTCTCATAAAAAGAATTTGGAAGCCAGGTGTCATGGTGCACACCCGTAATCCCAGCACTCTGGAAGGCTGAGGCAGGACTGGAAGTTCTAGCCAAGTCTGGGCAATTTAGTGACTTAGCAAGGCCCTGTCTCAAAATAAAAAATAAAAAGAGTGGGGATATAGCTCAGTGCAGAGTTCCTGGATTCAAACAACAGCATGTAGGGGCAAAAAGAGAATTTGAACATGTTTCTTCTTTCTATAACATTTTAAATAATAACATGGTTCTCTGTTACCTAAAAATTTGATAGACATCTCTTGTAAAACCACCTGGGTCTGGAGATTTTCACGAACATCATTCTCAAAAATTTTCAGTTAATGTTATAATAGCAATTGGTTTGTAGCTGGGTGTACTCTAGGAGGCCGAGGCAAGGGAAATTCCAAGTTCTAGCCCAACCTGGGCAACTTAGTAAGACTCTGCTTCAAGATAAAAAATTTTTAAAATGTGCTGGAGACACAGCCCAGTGCAAAGGCCAAAGGTTCAATCCTCAGTAAATAATGCTGGAAAAAAGGTTTGTATATATCTCCTTTGGGTTTGTTTTAGTAATTTATATTTCCCTGGAAGCCTTTTTAGTGACATTTTCAAAATTATTTTTTAAAAGTTGAAATAACTGTTTACACTCATTAATTGTGTACACTTTTCAGGAGATGCATGTGGCAGTTCTGAGATAGCCTAGGCTGATTCCTTACCTTGGCAAAATGATTTTTTCTTCAGCTGTTAGGAAGGCATAGTCATTAAAAGTGCTAAATTTCATAGATGGTGGGTATTTGAATGGTTTTGCTCCAAAATTAAACTCACATTGCTGATATGACATAAAACTAGCTGCAGCAAAAAATCCAGATCTACAAATAAAAATAAGTATGGAGGTCAATAGAATTAATAAAAACAAACCAATGCTCATACATTACAGTGGTTTTCAGAAAGTCAAAATGGGCCAGTTATACCCTAACAGAAAGGAAGGTGGGCAGATTCTGTTTACTAACCTAGACAGATCTGTGAACCAGAGAATATTCTGCCTTTACCTTCCTGTATCAAACTTTGGGATACTTTCAGGTCTAATCAAATAGGTCCCTGATTACTTGATATAAATAAACTTCCCACCATAATTGCCTACATTAATGGAGAAAGCCCCCTCCCCTCTTCTCTGGGGAAAATCTGACTATTCCAATTTTCAACTAAGAGGAGCTACTTACACAGTAGATGAAAAGACTTGTTTCTCAGGAGGCAGCTGGTTACCATTTAAAAAGAAGATCATTTGCTTTTCATTCAAGTCTAACAGAAATCCTACTGTGTCTCCTAGCGGATAAAGTGAAACACTGTTAGGATAATGCTGTACACTACCAGGATTCTGCAAGTCTCTCAGTAGCACTGAATTTCTTTCTTTCTCTCTTTCTTTTTTTTGGGGGGCGGGGCGTGGTACTGGGAATCAAACTCAGGACCTTGCGCTTGCCAGGAAGATGCTTGTGCCACTGAACTATATTCTCAGCCCAGTGGCGCTGTATTGAGTCTGTGTTTTTAGCCCATAATTCAACATGTTCATCTTTGTTTCTTCCACAAACGATTTGACCCCCTACTTACCAATATTTTCATGTACCATTAAGAGAAAAATGCTGTGAACTGAACAAGCCTAAAGTTGTAAGATGCATCCCAAAATCAAAGATAGTAACAATGTGGAAAATGTGTGTATTGGGATCAGCGACATGTGGTAAGACAGAATCATGTGCCTGTTTGCCTCTCTGGTGCTACCTAAAACTCCCTAGATAACAATTAAATGAACACTCATTAAAAAAAATTCATCCTCCCTTCTCAAATAAAACAAAACTATGAGATTTCTAGTTTTTGTTTTTTAAATTGCCACGATAACAACAATGAACATTCAATGCTGGTACAAGAAACCTGGCAATACCTAGAAAAGACTTCAAATTGTTTATCTTCATTGCCAGAGAAGTTTCACTTCTAAGGATTTATCTTGAGAAAATCTAGAATGGTTTACAGTAATTGTAAAAGGCAAAAATGTCAATGTCCAAAGATGAGACATTAATTAGTATTTTACAGTATAAGTATATAGTAGAATATTGAGAAGACATCAAAAGTAATATTAGTTTAATAACCTGGAAAACTGTTAAGATATTAAGCATAACAACAGATACATATATATTTCCCACATTTAACTTTTTTTTCATTTAACTTTAAAAAAATCTCTGGCCAAACACAGTGGCATGTGCCTATAAGGTAAGCTACTTGGGAAGCTGAGGCATGATTGTATGATTGTAAACTTGAGCCCAGACTGGACAATAAGCAAGACTGTGTTTAAAAAAGGTGAGGTGGGGAGGCTGAAACTGTAGCTCAGTCTGAGAGCACTGCCTAACCTGTGTGAGGCCTACGTTGAATTTCTAGTATTGGAGGAAAACAAAGAACAAAACAAACCCAACTCTGGATAAAGAATTATAGGGAATTTTAAAAGCTTATTCATTGTGCTTTATAAATTTTTCAAACTTTTTTTTTCAAACTTTTATAATAAACATATTCACATGTTTTTATTTTAAAAATGAGGCAGCTTTTACAACAGTGCCTTTATCTTATGCTTTATGAAATGGATAAGTTTCACATTTCTTAAGAACCTGCAAAACCATTGAAATGAGGGCTTCTCTTGGTTTTTCAGTTGTTTTTCTTTTCCACACTATCAATTTAGTCAAGTGAAGCTATTTTCTGATAAGAATGGTCAAATTCCTACCCTCTCAACATGCCTAAACTTTCAGTTTGCATCTTTTTTTGGTACCAGGAATTGAACTCAGGACCTTGTGCTTGCCAGGCAGGCACATGTGCCACTGAGCTATATCCCTGGCCCTTCAGTTTGCATCCATAATGTTGATTATGGGAGGAAAATGAGAGGAACACCCGGGAAGGAGCTGAGTTACATTTCCAACCTAGCTTCAATGCTGAGACTACAAATCCTCTCAAAGATTCCACCCTCTGCCATATGACTCATCTTCTTCAGAGCATGGGCCCTGACCAATACCAATTCCATTGCCATGATGCCTGGGAAAATACCCTCACTTTAGTGCACCACAATTCCTGTGTCCTTGATATCTACATGGTTGTTTTGATTCAAAGCATAGACCCAAAGAAGAAATTCGAATTCATACTGAGCCAGTCTCTCTTTTTTTTTTTTGCAGTACTAGGCATACAACCTAGACCCTGGTGTATGCTAGGCAAGTGTTCTGCTACTGAACTACCATCCTCAGCCCTCATATTAATCCACTTTCCTATTGATTCAAGAATTTTATATTGGAGCTGGGGATTTAGCTCAGTGGCAAAGCGCCTGTCTGGCAAGTGCAAGGTCGTGAGTTCAGTTCCCAGTACCGGAGAAAAACCAAAAAAAAAAAAAAAAAAAAAAGAATTTTATATTGTGAAATGTTTTTGCTATGGGAATGCTCCACCTGAGGTTACTTTATCAGAGAATGCCATTCACATCCATGGTGGTGAGACAAAGGATGACAGCCCATTCTCATTTAGTCATCTTCTATTAAAGACATTTTAAGGCCTAATATAGTAAATGCCTTGCGGTAATCAGATGTCTTAACCCAGGTGATAAATTCATGATGTAGAAGAATGAATACCTTCTTTCCAGCATGGATGTACATGAGGCTTACTTCTGGCATTATACCAAATCAGCTGCCGGCAGCCATCATAGGCACAGGAATATTCATCGTCCCCAATACCATAGCCTTCCTGGAGAAAGACAAGGCCCAGAAGATTAGCAAGTCTCTCCCTGCTCTGACCTGGTAAGAGAGAGTATCTTCTATAAGCATTAACTTAGTAGTTGGATTTTTTTTTTTTTTCACATTAGACGGGTAATGTACCGACATCATAACAAGGTTTGAGAGAGGCACATCTCATGCAGATGGCATGAACACCCAATCATCATGCTGATGAACTGAAGGATATTTTGTTTGTTTGTTTGTTTTTTGTGTTTTGAGACAAGGTCTTGCTCTGTAGTCCAGGCTGGTCTTGATCTTACTATGTAGCTCAGGCTACAATATGCAGTATAAGAACCATTGTTGAACTCCTACCATTTTGTATGATGAAGCTCTGCATCATTTCCAATCGTTTTTTTAAAAATTATTTTTATTGTTTTTTACTTGTTACTGTCTTTGATTGACCAATCTTACATTCTTATGTCTAATGGACTGAGCAACTTCATTGAAGATAACAGTATAATTTAGCAACCATTATAAATTTCTATCATTTTGTCTTGAGGTCATGTATCATTTTTGTTGTTTTTGTGCTGTTTTGATTTCATCTTCATTGTTGTTTTGTCAGTTTTTTAATGTTTAAAATAAAAAAATTATACATGTTAACTGAGCACCATGTAACAAATATTTCAATACATATACACATTGTATAATATTTAAATCAGGTTAAAAACATCTGTGTTTCTTTATGGTGAGAATTTTAAAAAATCCATTTATTTATTTATTAATCAGGGGCTCACTTTGTAGTCCAGGTTGGCCTCAAACTCACAGCAATCCTGACTCAGCCCCCTGAGTGCTAGGATTATAGGTGTGTGCCACCATACCCAATGGCCATCACTTTTTGAAAAGTATAGTACATATGACTTCTTCTTCTCTAAATGGGTGCATAATACATTCTCAAACTCTCAAAAGAATTAGACACAGTATGTGAAAGATGTTTTAGCTTTCTTTTTGGTGCTGAGGGTTGAACCCAGGGCCTCAGGTATGTAATTATATCCCTAGTCTAAAAGATATTTTAGGTAAGTCAAAGTATGCCCTTGAAGACTTGCTCTGGCCAACCCTCAATAAAAATATACACAACAAACCAGGCATGGAAGCACATCTCTATAATCCCCACTTTTAAGAGGCTGAGGCAGGAGATTTGCAAGCTTGAGCCCAGCCTGGGCAACTTAGTGAGACCTATCTTTAGGGCTGGGGAAGTATCTCAGTGTGAAAGCCCTGGGTTCAATCCCCAGCACCTCCCAAACAACATCAACTAAACCACAAAACAACAAGACAAACTATTTTGTAGATGTCCTGAATGAGAACTATCCTGAAGCTTCTCATTTAAATGGTCATCTCTGAGCTTGGTGCTTTGATCATCCTTTCAAAACTAAAACCCAGGAAAAGTTAATAAGCAGAACTACAGAGAGGCTTCAAATCTTTTGAAACTCGGTGTATTTTCAGAGTGACTTATCCCATAAAATCACACCATCTGTACAGGGAAAAAGACTCAAATTTACCAGAACAATGTCCATTTGAAATGAAGCTGTAAACATGGCAACATCATTAAAATCTTACATGTGGAAAAAGACGTGTCAAACTTCATCCATTTCTAATGGAGGATCAACTAATACTTGGATCAGGAAAATATGCTTGTTTTGTTGTTGTTGTTGTTTTGTTTTATGGTACTCGAGAGTGAAAGCAGAACCTTAACACTGAGCTCTATATCAGCCCTTTTTATTTTGTGAGTCAAAGTCTTCCTAAGTCACTAAGTTGCCCAGGCAGGGCTTAAATTTGTGAGCCTCCTGTGTCAATCTCCCAGAGTGCTGGCATCACAGACAGGTAGCACCACATCTGGCTGCTTGTAAGTCCTCTGTTAACAATATTTTAAAACTCTTAACTTGAGGAGCCAAATATCTCCAACAATATGGCAGAAATTAGTTTCATCTATCAGATGAAATGATTCAATTTTATTGGCCATTAAAATATACACTTGTAACTTTCACTGTCAGACATACTATACCTTGACTTGTAGTGTGTTTGCTAGCAAAGCAGAAGAGACAAATTTTAGTTTGAAGCTTCCTTCGTGGATCTACCAGAAAAAAAAGCCAAGTGCCCTCTCCCATTTATGAAGCTCTTCAAGGTACTCACGTGATTGAGAAATTTACTGTCTCGAGTGGCCCAGCCAATCTGCATGACGCCAGAAGTGACTACTGTCACTTCATAGTACCATACCCCAGAATCCACACAAAAGGTGCAACGAACACTTTCAAAAGAGGAGGCATCACAGCGAGCCTGGCAAAACCGAAGAACATGACAACCGCCATCAGTGCCTGAAAACCATCAAAATAACTGGCTACTGGGAAAGCTGAACACAATTTTCCTTATTAAAGGTTCTGGTGGACTACTGTCTTCTCTGTCCAACCTCAGTTACAAAAAGCATAAAACCAAATGAAGTATATGGTAGGACTATTTTATCGTTTAATTTCCAGGGAGTTTAGAGATACTGTTCAAAGAGTTCTTTAATCCTGAAATTTCTATCCCTCATAGTACCTCCTGTATATAAGCAGCTCTTACATCAGCACCACTCAACGTGCAGGGAGAAAGGGAAGGACCTGACTTGATATGATTGGCTAAGAAGGGATTTAAAAATGGAGAGCTTTCCTTTTGAAACCTTAGTCTGTGTACCTTTAGTTGAATAAAATGACAGAGATTAACAACAGACATATTTAAACTGACCAGTAAATACTATATTGCTTATAACAGGTGTAGTACCATGTGGGATATAAAGTAGACAATGTCCCGAAACACTCTCTATTCTACCACTTCTATTCTAACCACTCTTCAGGTAGGAAATAAACCACCTATTCTGTAAGATATCGCTTTTGATCAGAAGTAGGTCTTGAAAATGAGGAAAATGTTTTACCCTCTAAAAGGTCCATTTATGCAAGTTTTACCTCCAAGCCATGAGGTGAGATCTTCAGGTACTCGCTGACATCATTGCTATTCAGCATAGCCCTGATGCTACTCAAGTCCACTTTCTCATAGGTCAGCTGTCTACCTTCTTTTAAAACTGCAAAAGAAAAAGTGGTCATGTTTCTAAGGCAAGCTGCTGAGGGGAAAAGAAAAAAAAAAAAGGCTACTGCCATGCCTGGCTGCCATGCTCACCAAGGAATGAGAATGGATGGGGAGGCTCAGAACCTCAACTTTGCTGTTCTACTACCACACGAAAGCTGACCAAGCACATGCCAGGAAAGGTAGCAGCCTGAGGTTGATGCCTCCATTCCTGTATCTACTGTTTTGCATGAAACAAGATCCAAATTGCACTTTTTCAGAATTATCCTTTAACTGGCACTATATAGGTTATACCTGCAATTTTGGATGATGATGGGGGTCACATGTCCAATTATGCTACTCATGAAGGGGAAAGGAAGATACAACAGTAGTATAGTTTTTGTTCTAGTAGTCCTTGAAGGAAGAAAAGACAAAAAGCTGGGAACAAACCTCATGGTACAGGCAAGGTATTGGGGTTGAGAAGCAAAGTTGAGGGAACTGGCCTAGAGGTAGGAGTCATCAGGACTTGTCTGAGGGACAGTCAAGAGACAATCTATATTGCAAAGAGTGTTAGACAGTGCCATATGATTAAAGGCCTTGACATAGCAGCAAAAGGGCATCTGAGTAAAGGTTTTTGCAAGTAGAATGTTTTGGCTGAGGATATAGCTCAGTGGCACAGCTCCTGCCTGGCAAGCATAAGGTTCTGAGTTTGACTCCCAGTATACACACACATACACACACACACATACAAACCACCCCAAAAGTAGAATGTTTTTTTTTTTTTTTGGTTTTTCTCCGGTACCGGGAACCAAACTCACGACCTTGCGCTTGCCAGGCAGGCGCTTTTGCCGCTGAGCTAAATCCCCAGCCCCTAAAAGTAGAATGTTTTGAAAGTAGAATGCTGGAGTTAGAAGCATACAATGTAATTTTTTTTTTTCTGATACTGGGAATCAAACTCAGGACCTTGCGCTTGCCAGGCAGGGGCTTGTGCCGCTGAGCTTTATCCCCATACACTGTAATTTTTATTGAGAGTCTCTAGGATACTTTCTGCTACAGTATAGCCAATCTACCAGTACAGGACCCTATAAAGAAGAACTCACACTCATTCTTAGAAAAGGAAAGCCAGTAAGCCTACCGAAGAAACAGGTTTGGAAATAGAAAGACATTTTGTTTTATTTATTTATTGTTTTGGAACAGGGATGTGAACTCAGGACCTCACACATGTCAGGCAGGTGCTGCACCCCTGAGCTATACCCCTGGCTATTTTATCTTTTTTAAAAGGAGTACTTTGATTTATTTTAAGTATGACATGAAGGGATTTTTTTTTTTTTTTTTGGTCTTCTGTTCACCTTTCATCACATAGTTGTGCAGCAAGAATTTTTCTCATGAAGGGGAAAGGAAGATACAACAGTAGTATAGTTTTTGTTCTAGTAGTCCTTGAAGGAGCAAAAGACAAAAAGCTGGCAATCATTCACAAAAATCACAACAAACTGAATTATACATGGAAGAACACAAGGCAAAAACAAAGAATGTTATGCACTGTATACAGTATTAGAGCCTCTCATCAGATAGTAACTGTGGGAAAATCTGATTTACAGAATTAAAAAAGAACTAAATTCTAGAGGGACAGGTATGGTGGTGCACATCTGTAATCCCAGCACTCAGGAGGCTGAGGCAGGAGGATCATCCCAAGTTCAAGGCCAGCCTGGGCTACATAGTGAACTCAAGGCCAGCCTGAACTACACAGTGAGACCCTGTCTCAAAAAAGAGAACTAAATTCTAGAAACTTTTGACAATTTATTAGTATTTCAGTTATCAGATTCCTCATCCTTCAAATGAATAGGTAGTTTACCAGTCCTCCAGTTTTATTTATTTATTCATTCTTTTTTAGTATGTCATAACATTGATCACATTCATCATAGGGAATTTATACCTGTACATAATATGTCTTGATTTTTCTTTTCTTTCCCCATTCCCCTCCCTTCTCTTCAGCCCTTCTCCTCCCCATTTACAAAAGCTTTGTTTCCATTTTTTCCTTCTATTCTCTTTTTTTCCCTTTCCATCCCTTCCCCCTCCCCGCTTCTCTTGTTCCCCTAGAAAAAGACATTTTAATACAGGACAACTCCCACTTACAGAGATTGTCTAAGCTCCACTGGGCACAGAAACCAACTTGACGTTTCAAATAATCAGGCTCATCAGCCCAGGACTCCAATGTGACAAGCCGGTCACTAATGCTGGATTCAGAGATAGTCAATTTATTTTCACCTGTTAGGAAGATGAAATCCTTAAATTAACAAAGAAAATGTAGGGTGATTTGCTCAACAGGTTAGTAGTGGTAAATAAGGAGTGAAAAGAGGCAATTAGAGAACTTGGAGACCAGAATGGACTTCATTAAAGTTTTTAGGGGTTACACGGTCGAAACTTTAACTATTCTCTGTAACTGTGGTCACTAAGTTCAGATTCTTAGGCAAGAAAATGCTTGCCTTTATTCCTGTTACTCTTTACTGGCTCTGAAATGGCTACCTAGACAAAAACAGAAGGTATGCACATTTGATGGAGTTCAAAGTGCAAGCTCACCCAGTAACTACAAAAAATAAAGATTTTTAACAACCAGCACAGAAGAGAGCCTTACTGCAAGAAGTCACTATACGTACTTGTCTGTGCAAACTTTTCCAGTGCGATAAGTGCAAAGAGCATGACTGTGGGGTGGGACTGTAACTTCTGAAAGACAATAAAAGATTAAGAAAATATCATTCCCCCTGCAGAGGTAGCACAAGTTATCAATTTCACTTTATTACACAATGTGCACTCAATTTTGGGGGGAGCAGTCAAAAAATTACACTCCCTCAACTCTTTAATTATCTATTTAGCTAACTGTTAGCAATGAAGAACCAAGATAGTCTTTCTCTCTTAAAGTCATTGACTTAATGTATGGATACAGAAATTCAACAGTATCTTGTAAAATGTATTATTATTTTACTTAGTAACATTTACTTTAGGACTCTGTTAAAATAATGACTCTTATGTTCATTTAAACCATACAAACTAGAATTGTAGCTAAAAGTGCTTTTTATTTAGAACCTTAAAAGGAAATAGTCAATGCAACAATCCAGAAGTATAATGAAATTAACAGCCATTGTCTTGGCTTTTAATATAATCCCTGAAAAGAATTCCACAAATGCTACTGATAATAGGGGAGAGAGCAACATTTGTGTTCACATCACACAAGTTCCATTTAAAGAAAGATCTACCATTTAACCTCACATCTTCTCCCAGCCATGCTTTCCCAACCTGTGCTCTAGAACCTCGGAGGAACGTCACTCACTTTCCTGTTACCGACCTATAAGGCAAAGCTCATATGTAACCACCACCCTCCCCTGCTGCAAAGTCTGTTCAGCATCAACACTGTTTTTTCCATCTCCATTCCCAATCCCTCTGTCTGGCTTTTCCAGCCCTGAACTCTCCACCTGGCTTCTCAGTCTATGTCCTACTACCTCTGAAGGCAACCTTCCATGATCAGACGATCTCTGCTTCTGGACTTCCACCTGTGGTATTTCTGTAGTCAAGAAACCCACTGTGTCCTCCACTAGGCACAATGAGATCCTAGTTTATGGCATGCCTCAGCAGAGGTGCTCTTTTTATCAAGAAGGCTGTCTCTCATGACTGCTCCAGTCCTCACACTCACACCACCCATCTCTTTGCCTCCTCTGAACTCTTAAAGCACTTAGTCTAGAGGAAGAGATTGTGCCTTTGATTGCATCCTGTCATAAAATGGACTCTAAATATCTTGTCTGAGAGTTTTGTTTCTTCAACTAACCAGTAAACTTCTTAAAGGCAAAGGAGGACTGACTGTTCAATTATTTTCTGTATCTGTACGGTGCTCACTTGGCGAAGTGTAACTGCAATCACATATCATGGTGGTACTGGTCTTTCCGATAGTTTTGAAAAAGGCCAATGCTCACTGGCTTGCAAAAATAACTTTTAAAAATACAGACCAGTCAAGATTTTAGTCAGCCCTGTGAAAGGTCTGAGAGTAAAGTGCAGGCTTCACAGATGATATATCAAATACTCCAAGGACGACAGTTGTAAGAGTGGTAGCACTGGGGGGAGGGCAGGCAGGAGCAGAGATTTATGTACACTGAGAACCTGACCCGAGTCGGATGCCATGTAATTTTGTTTTCACTGTGCAGCTCCCTATTACCATAGTAGACTCTAAGGACACACAAAAAAGTCAATCACAGCCGCTATCCTATGACTAACATTAAAACCAGACCAAGTCAGCTGTTTTTGCTTCTAATAAATTCCTATCCTACTTTTTTTTTTTTTTTTTAACATAGGAGGGAATAAACACTCAGGAAACACCTGCAAGTAAAATTTACAACTGATTCCATTCTCTGTGCCAGGGGCTATGCTGGCAATTTGAGAAAAATGCACACCTCTGAATAAGAATAACTAGCTTTGATGTCTCACTTACCAGACACTGCAGCAAATATTCCAGTATTCCTGGGCTAAGTAAACCTATACTTGCAGGACCTAGACAAATACAACAAACACTGAATATAATTAAAAGTGCCATATTATTTTTAATGGGCAATAATAACAATCAAATTGTTTTGGTAGAACTCTGTACCATTTACCAAGTACCTCACGTACACTGTTTTACTCAAGCCTCCTGCTCTGATGTTGGGAATAAATAGTACCATCCCATCTCACAGCTGAGCAACTGCATCCACACAGAAAAATGACTAACTCAAGGGCGCTTGGGGAGCATGAGGCAGAACCTGAACCCATGTATTCTGACTTCTAATCTATTATTTCTTCTACTATATATGAAGTAACTAATTGAACACTTCACATCTACCTTGCTGTGAACATTCTTAAAATCGCTAATAGTCATAAGTCTCTCATGACTATATATATACATATATATATATATATATATAGCTTTTATACTAAATTCAGTTCTTCCCTTATTCTTAGTTTTAAAGCAAATGAATGTTAAGATTTCCCTCAAATTTCTCTGAAAATCCACAACACTAAATGAGATTGCATTTAATTCTGCCCTCTGAGTAAATTTCTTACCCTTCCTTCTTTCTGCTATATCATGTTGAGCAAAGACTTGTGATGCAAACTATCCCTTAACATCAAAAAACCTGGATCTTCCTCTGTGGTACTTCCTCAAATTACCTGCTAGTTTCTCAGCTAGGCAGCCTAAGACTGCAGATGTGTTCCTGTGTTTGGCAGGATGACCCGAGTCCTGGCAAGCTACTTCTCCATTTAAATTGAGAATTTCAGTCAATTTCTGGAGTGCATCCTAAAAACAAAAATACAAGTGGATTTGGTACATACCCTCCTTGGGTTGTTTTTCCAAGAGAATTCTTTAAAACAAAGTTATATGCAAGTGTTACATGTACTCAGAATTACCATACAAAAATTATATAATGTACCCCAGTGATACAATTATTGTGGGAAATATTTTTTAATCAACCAGAAAGTTTTCTCACACGATCTGTTAGATCACATTTTCATTCAATTGTACAGGTTATACCAATTACATGATACATACTTTCTTTTTAGTGGTACTAATGACTGTACCGACATGTCAAGCAAGCACTATACTACCAAACTAGTCCTTTTTTTTCATTTTTTCTTTTTTGAGATAGGGTCTAGCTAAATTGGCAAAGCTGGGCACAGACTTGCAGTCCCCCACCTTCATTTCTGAAGTAGCTAGAATTATAGTTTATCTCACGATGCCTGGCTTGCTATATGCTCCTAAATCATTAAACAGACTAAACTAAATGTCAATACAGTTGATAACATTAGGGTCCAGTGATATGGAAGTAAGAAATTAACTTTTTAAAGAAGTTTTTAAAAATAATAAACTTTTAAAAAATAAATTTACCAAGTAAGAACAATCCTACCGAAGTTTTCAAGGCAAATTAAAAGGAAAAGGCGGGCCAGGGATATAGCTCAGAGGCACTAGTGCCTGCCTGGCAAGTACAAGGTGCTAAGTTCGATTCCTGATACCAAAAAAAAAAAAAAAAAGAAAAAAAGGAAAAGGAAAAGCCTACGGAAGATCAATTCATCCATGACTAAGCTAAAGACTTCCTTCTGTCCACCATGTCTCTCTAGGGCCCCAAATAAAAGACAAACAAAAAATGTCAGAATCCAAATTTTAAAAAATATATGGACTAAGGTATGAAAGTATGGTATTTCTGTTCTAAGTAAGGGATAATCACAAACATACTAAACCCTAAAAGACTCAAAAGTGCTTTAATACAATGTTTTTTTTGTCATAATAGAAAACTTTTGTTATAAGGAAAATGCACAGAGAAAGATAAAAAAATCAGTCCAGCAATTCAATAACCTGTTCTAGTTTCCAAATAAAGATTGTCATTTGGGAATGAATATTTCTATTTTTAACATTTAAAAAATATTAAACTAAAATCTTATATAGTATGCTATAGAGGATGGAGTACCTCATAATAATAAAAAAATTTTACACAATGAAATCAATATGAGTAAAACATCTCAAATGTATAGAAAGGAAATGCATTATATCAGATGTTCTTTGGGGTTCATCCTGTGCATAAGCACAGATGACAGTTTCATAGAAGATTAGTATTAACTTACTTTAGTGGGCAATGGACATTCATCTAGTAACAATGTTATAACAGCTGGTCCCAATGGATCTTCCAATGGAATAACTCTAATTAAAGACTGGACAACATCCAACCATCCTTCATCTAAGAGCAAATCAAGAAGATTATGTAGTGGAGTTACTATTTTGAAAATGTGAAAATACATTAAATTTACAAAGCCACAAAAGAGGATGTCGCATGAACACAGACACATTTTTGTTCTTCATCCTATAGCTTTTGAGAAGCTAATATTTGGCACAGCATTGCCAGTTGTCATGGCAGAGTCAAAAATTTGTTAAAAGGGTCTTGTGATTTGGGGGCATTTTTATTTGGAGGAAATTTAAGCTATGGTTTGTGTCCTCAAATTATGATTAAAACAGTTTAAAATATTTTACTTACTGCTAAGGAATTAACTGAGAAAATTAAGTATACTCAGCAGTTGACTCTATTTTCAGATGACAGGAAACAGAGATAAGAAATGATCCCCTCTAGAACAATTACAGTCAAAGATCTGTCAATATAAAAAAAAAATTCCCCCTATAACTTTAAATGATGCAAAACCATCACTAAGACATGTAGCTAAACCATTCAGGGTACAATACATAGTGTCTATTACATTTTTATAGGATAATTTCCACAAACCAAGGGCTTTTTCCTTTGTTATGTATTCTAAGTATTTCTGGATTCTTTGTCTTTAAAAAAGATGGCCACATTTCATTATTATTAATTCATTAGGAACTATTAGAAACAAACTTTAAAAATACCTGTTTCTGCCATTTCGTGTAATGTAATCATTGAATAGGGAGGTTCCTGATCACTGAAAAACAAACATTCAAGACATTAAACTTGAAGAAATAACAAGTGACAACTCCAAATAAAAATTCCATCTTCACATGTGGGAATAGAAAGAGAATGTATAAATGAACATTATGAATGTAGGGAAAGAGATGGAAGCATCAATCAGAGCTATAACTGGTAATATTTATACCACATGTGCTTATTTCCACAGTCACTGCCCATGATCGTTCACAAACAAAATAGGCAGGTGGGCACTCACAACAGTTACTATGTGGCCTGAGGTAAAAGCACAGGACTAAAACTGGAGACAAGACTCTATTCTGAGCTTTACATCCAAGGCCCAATGCTAACTGAGATGAGCCAGGAAGGTCAATCTCATCTTTTTCATACACACCTCAAAGAAATAACAGGGTGGAAAATGGCAATGCCAACTAGTGACTTACAGAAGCTAGGGCCTACATAAACATCTTCATTTCAAGGTTTTCTTCTGGGAAATATCACTACATGCTTAAACTTCATAAAATGGTATTAGAAGAAAAAGAAAGCAAACTTACTCAAGGACTATTTAATATTCTAGACACTGCTCTAAAATTGTATTATATACCTTAATTCCATGGGTTCTCAAGCTGGGGTCTCAGAAATCCTCAGGAAGTACTTCAGGGGAACTTCAATACTGAAATATTGTCTATCAAACAATGATAATTCTAATTGGTTGAGGATTCACCATTTATTTGTTTACATATTTTGGATCTGTTTTCTGCTGTGAAAAAACCCCATAAAGACTACTGTCTTAAAGCATTTAATCCTCAAAATACCTTTGTGACATGGGCATTAGTATGTTGATTTCAAGTACTTATTAATGCTGGTTGTCAGACATATCCTTTGTTCTTTCATAATAAGGGGAAATTACTATCTACAAAGAATTTTAAAAAACAATATAACTGGCTGAGGCAAACATTTCTGGAGAACAACATGGCAATAATGAAATTAAGTATTCACACAGTCAGTTCTAGAGACACTTTTACATAGGTCCATAAACTGATGCATGTTTTTGCATATTTTGCATGATTATCTGCAGGAACAAAAGTTTGGCAGGAACTTAAGTGATCATCCCAGATAAAACAAAATATAGTACCTTTAGACACACAAAGGAATATGCTACAGCAGTTAGAAGTAGTTGTAGATTTATACACAGCAACACACATCTTGAATATAATGTTAAGAGAAGTTAAAAACAAAGAGGTTTATAAAACTAAGTCAGTTTTTAAATATAAAAAATTATACACAAAACACTGTTCTTCTGATATAGACATAAAGAAACAAATGATAGGAGAATTGGAAGAACCTATCCTTCATTTTTCTGTTTTTGACACGCTCTTGCTATGTTGCTCAGGCTGGTCTTGATCTCCTGAACTCAACTGATCCTTCCCACTCATCCTCCCAAGTAACTGGGATTACAGGGAAGGACAGATATTAATGGTTATATTTGGAGGTGGGTGATCAAAAGAATGAGATTAGGGAATAAGGGAAAAATAATAAATTCAACAAAGATTCAGCAACCAAGAAGGAAAAGAAGTACTTCTGTTCTATGCAGAAGTACTTAATGTGTACACATACACATACACATACACACACATCCCTCTACATTCAAAGAACAAGGTAAGGTCTCTTGTGATTTAGAAGGAGAAGAGGAATTTCTGATGGGAGGCAGAAACTTGGTCAGGGGGCCTCTGGGCTGTGATCAGACACTGGACAGTGGTAGCCAGGAGATGTACTCTACTCTTTCAGGGCAGGACCCAAAATCCCACCTACAAGATGGTTGAGATGCACAAATGAAGCTGGGGTGGGGCCCCCTCTCAATGAATGAAAGGAGCAGAAAAAGTGAGCTACAGCTGGTATAAAGGATAAGTCTCCAGTGATAGAAAAAGGCAAAGAAAGCTATGCAGCAGGACCAGGGCTCCTTACAGTGGGTGAGCACTCCAATTTTAGATTCATGGGGTGGGGAGGAAAGCACCGGCCCCGAGGGGGCACACATAACATACAGACACAAACACAGCAAGGAAGACACTTCTATCGTGAGCAATCTACAGGGCTGGGGATGTAGACCAATGTGAAAATACTGGCCTAGCCAACACAAGGTTCAAACTGCAACAACAACAACAGCAACGAGTCTGTGTACTAAATTCCAAAGCACATAAGAATGACATTAAAACATTAAGACAAGGTCACTACCAAAAACATGTAAATAACTGAACTTCAAAACATTTTTTTTCAGAAAATTTTGCTATGTAGTTGAGGATGGCCTTGAACTCACTCTGTAGCCCGGGCTGGCCTTCAACTATGTAGCCCAGGTTAGCCTTGAACTCTAGGCAATCCTCCTGCTTCAGCCTCCTGAGTGCTGGGATTATAGGCATGCAATGTCATGCCCAGTAAGATGATTTTAAAATAAGTGTATGTACAGGAACAACTGTAAGAGGTATATTAAGTGAGAAACAAAACCAAAAAAAGTTATATGCATTAAAAAAGAAAAATTAGAGATCCTAGAAGTAAAATAGTTGCTGAAGTAAGTATCTTAAGAGATGGTATATTTAACTGTAGATATGCCATTAAGTGTGAAACTTAATGAATTAGAAAAGTATCGAGGGATGGACTCAGAACACCAGAAGCAACATTCAAAGACAAAATGGCTGAGAAACTTCCAGAAGTGAGAACATGATTTTAAACTGAAAGTACACAGGATTAACATTAGACAATCACAACAGAAAAATAACCAAAAAACCTTGTTTAAATGAGAGAAAAGCTAGGTATAGAGACGTGGGCAAATTGGCAGTTTATTTCAAAACAAAGTCATGGAAAACCAGAAACCGACACCATCCAACTCCATAGCAGTGGTGGCAAACCTATGGCACCAGAGCCCTCTCTGTTGGCACACAACCAAGTCACCCCAGCAGCTGAGCATCGGGTAACAGCTTTTTTTCTAAATGAAAAACAGCATTCAGGTTTAACTGTGGCGTTGGCACTTTGCAATAAATAAGTGGGTTTCAGGTTGCAGTTTAGGCCCTCGGTCTCTAAAAGGTTTGCTCTCACTACTGTATAGTGACTCTCATGTAGTGGCAATGGGTGCCCCTCTCCTACTCATCATCAGTGTCACTCTTTCCTTACTACAGACAACAGAAAGAAGAGGATAATAGAGATTGTTTTATAATTTTATAGCTGTATACATCCATTTAGATATAAGGCCACATGTTCTTTCATGTTTCATTTTAACAGACTTATAAACTTTATAGGTTATAAAATTCATCTCCTTTAACAGCTTCTAAAAAAACATGCATATATCCCTAGCACTTGTGTGGTACTGAGAATTGAATTCAGGGTCTCATGCACAGGAAGCATGCTCTCTTATACTGAGCTACATCCCTAGCCATTTTATTATTTTATTTGATCAGGACAAAGTCTTGTCATAGTGCCTAGGCTGGCCTTGAACTTGAGATTACCTTCCAATGGCTTTCTGAGTAGTTGGGATTGCAGGTATGTACCAGTAGGCCTGGCCACAGCCATGTTTACTTTTTTCTCTAGCATGTGTCCCCCCCCCACCCCTTTTTTTTTTTGTCTTTTTGAGACAGGGTTGCACTATGCAGTTCAGGCTAGCCTTGAGCTCACTTTGTAGCCCAGGCTGGTTTCAAACTCGCAACGATCCTCCTGCCTCAGCCTCCCCAGTGATGGGATTACAGGCATGCACCACTATGCCCGGCTCCCCTTTCCTATTTGCTCCACATAGGCCTTATTTTTCTCCCCAGTCAAAAGTTATACCTATGAGTCAGTAAAAACAGGTGTATGGTAAAAGCTACTTTGTTATTCAAAGGCAAATCAACTGTTTCACATAAGTGAATTACGTGCTTTATCAACAAGGTCATTTATAATTTGTAAAATTTCTTGGAGCTTAGAAATAAGGTCCCTACCTTGGTGCCATACTCCCTTAATCACTCTCTTAAAACAGGACAAAGTCTGTTCTGTTCCTGTTTTTTAAATGGGCTTACATGAATATTTATTGTGTTTTACTTCCTTTTGGGGGAAGGATAGCTTTTCATTATAATTATGAGGGGTAATTTTTGGAAAAATTATTACTCTTGAAGACCAACTATCATCCCACTATTTTGTGGGAGAATCTCATACAACTCTAACAATTTGTTTTTATGCACAGATATGTTATTTTGTTACAATTTTTGAGAATTAAACAAAACTTTTTATTAATGTGATTATAAAATATTTATAAATTTACTAGCAGGACCTGAAACAAACAAAACCCAGAAATTACTTTTTAAAATTACTACTATAGCAGCTGGAGATGTAGTTTAATGGTAGAGTATTCACCTACCATGCTGGAGGCCCTGAGTTCAATACCTAGCATCACAAAAAAAGGTGGTGGGGGGATTAATACCATCTATTGAGCAACTGTTTTACACAAAACAGCATACTAGATATTTTTTATATATTATCTCATGATGATTGTTGTAAGACAGGTGTTATTCTCATTATAGATGAGGAACCTGAAGCTTAGAGAAGTAGCTTACTAGTGAGTGGCTGGGCCAGAATTTGCACCTGGATCCATCAAGGTTCTAAAATTTGTGCCTTTAACTACTAAACTGATACAATCTGAGCTAACATGTTTTTTTTGTTTGTTTGTTTTTTTAGCTTGAACAGTACCCTTTAATTTCACTGTTATTCAATCTGGGGTCTTTCACTTAGAATTAGACAAAGCAGGGGATAAGACAAACAGGTACAGGTGTGCCCTGCAGTTTCAACTTACAAGTTTTCCAAATAGATCTTAGAGAATCAAATAAGAAATATTAAAGAGAGGAGAAGGAAACTCTTTTTGACCTTTGTCCTTAGGTTACCAATAGAACTTTCAAGCAGCCATGATCTTGGGTCAAACAATTCACCTTGAAAATCTCTGGTCAGTGGAGCAGAGAGGGAAGCACAGTAACAGTCTTCTTTAAATCATTTCCTATCATAGCTAGCACTACAAACTCACGCAATATTTACTACATTTCCTAATAAAGATCATAGTTTTAAATAATGTTTTCTGCTACAGAAATGTTTAGACATTTCAAGGCAGGACTAAGGTGATAAGAAGTTAAAACATCAAAATCTGTAATTTAATCTGCCACCAGAAGAGAAATATTCTCCCTCACTCCATAAACACAAGGCTTTGTGAGTATATACTAAATAAGCTGAAGGAATCCAAAAGTCATAGTTCCTGGCAGAATACTTTCCATTGCACTGGAGATGACAGTGAGTCAGATACTTACTTATCTACAAGAGTCCGTATTACTGCCAGTGTGTCCAGCACTAGCCCATCTACATTTTGTTTTTTTCTTCTTGGCTCATGTGGTCCTCGACCCCTCCTTGGTGGCCGAACAGGGTCCCGGGGTTGGCTCCTCATGTCAGCAGTGGGGATTGCATTGTTCTCGGCCTGTTGCTGGTGGGTGTCAACACTGTCTTCTGCTCCGCTGTCATCTCGGCAGATACAGGAATTACCCATGGTAGCAGCAGCACCTCTAGTCCCCAGTAGGTTGGCTATGTGCTCCTGAAGAGTCAACAGCAGACCCTGGCCAAGGCTTCTGCTTGCTAAGAACACGGCCCAACCAAAGACAATCATTTAGATAGTTTTCAGTTTTCCAAATACTGTTTTCATAATCTGTAGTTGAGGAACTTGCATCCTATTTGTTTTTAATGACTGAATGCCAAAGAAATTTGCAGAGCTGATCTCCAACATTATCAGCTACAGGGAAGCCTGGTCATCCACGGGCAGTTCTCAAAGAAAGAAAGGAAAAGAAAAGGAAAATGAATAGAAGATTCTTGATCACTCAATTACTCACACTTTACTAGTTTGGTTTTATATATAGTTGCATTACAACACAGAACCATCTGTGGTTATTTTTATAGGTTTCCAACACACATACACAAAATATCTTTGAATAACAGAATTAACAATCAACCAATAATTCCTTTTCATCATTATTAGAAAGTTGATTGCTAGACCATATTTTTGGAAACTATAGGCGATATAATCAATGTTCAAAAACCATATATGTGATTCTTCCTATCTCTACACATCAGAAGGATGTACAATTTATTCAAGGGCTCCTTTTGTGATAAAAATAATCTTTTTTTCTTTACACATATGGGATAATATGTTTCAAATAAAGTATCTAATTACATGTGTCTATTGTTAAAAAGTTATGATACAAATGTGATAGCACCTATTTGATAAGGAAAGAATAAAACAGTGTTCCTCTTAAATTACTAAAACTCCACTGATGTTCCACGTAGAGACTCATTCAAGAATTTACAGACATTGTACAAATCATTACAGAGTTTTTGTTTTAGGTAAGCAAGACTCTGTTTTGGAGAATGTGAATTTATATAACAGAGTTACATTCTCACAATCAGCTTGTTGCACAACAATCTGTTACACAGTTAAGAACAAGATGTATCAATTATCTTTGTCTGAAAATGCTAAGCACTTTGTACCAGGCACTATGGAGGCACTAAAACAGTAAGGACAAGGCATAGTCCTTGCCCTCTAGGAATTTATGGATGACATGACACACAGTATATTTATTATAAAAAACCAAAAACCAAGTGATTAGCCTTGAGTCGTGGTGCACACCTGTAATCCCAGCTACTGGGGAGACTGAGGCAGAAGGATTACAAATTTGAGGTTAGCCTGGACAACTTAGTAAGACCCTGACCCAAAATAAAAAATTTAAAAGGGCCAAGAGTATAGCTCAGTCATAGAAGGCCTCTGATATCAGGGCCCAGAACTGCAGTAATAAATGAATAATGAAAAATTAAACAGGGTGGGGATGGGTATAGAGTATGGCACTATAGTGCTTGCATAGCACGCCCTGGATTCAATTTCTGTGCCACAAAAGCCAAGTCAAATCCAACCAAATTACCAGCCAAACAAACAAAAACCCCAAATGATAGAACCAGCTTTTCATTGACCTGAGAACATCTGGTTAGGTTCTGAAAAGATTTGAAAGTAGGAGACTGACATGAGACTGGTAGCAAAAATTAACAAATCATGCTGGTATTTGGAGACTATGACATACAAGGAAAGGACAATGCTGATGTGCAGTCTCTACTCAACATTTGGATATATACAATTAATTCCTCATGTGTACTCACACAGGATTAGATATAATATTTATAATTCAGAAGGACTAGAAGAGAAAATTTACTTCCATTATGTGGGGCAAAATCACAGCAAGTTCTTTTCAATATTTTCTTAATCTACTGCTCACATGGGAAAAAAAGAGACAATGGATAGAAAGTCTTTACATATATGTAAGTATAAATACATGAGAGAGGAAGGCAAGGAGGGAAAAGAATGAGAGGTTGGGACAAGAGAGGAAGACAGTAGACATTATCTGCCCCCACACTACATACAGGGAGCAATGACTGAGCCAAGTTAATGCTGGAGATGTTCTTGGGTCCCCAAAACCAGCCAGGCTATCTTGAAAATTTGAAGGTTGTGCTAAAAGGATGTGACTGAAGTACACAGGCAGCAGCACGAAGCAAACACCCAGCTGGGAAAAACATTTTAACAAAGAACGCATTTTAAACCAGTAGAGCTGAAGTAAATGATATTCCCACTACTGAAGGGTCCAGGGTCCAATTCCCTCCAGAGAGTAGATTACTAAGAGATTTCAAAGCTTAAAAGGACGGAGGACACAGATGCCAGAAATAATTCTTTTAAAGGGCCCTTGGTATATGTTTCTACTGATCTGATAAACTATGCTGGTTTCTGGAAAAGACCAAAAAGCGCTACTTAAGAAGCCATGCTCTGGCCTTTCTCAGACACTGCACAGACAAGGCACTGCTGCAGCAATTCAGATGAGGGGAGTTTTCTGACGGGCCCAGCCCAGCTGTTTATGCCAGGGGAGCACTTTCTTGGAATCCTAAGGTATTATTTAATATTTAAAAAGTTAATCCAATGCACAAGGTTCTGGGCTTGATCCCCAGCACTGCAAAAACAGAAACCAACAATTCAGTTCAGTTTGAAAAGCTAAATGTTCCACAAGTCTAGAGCAAGTAGAAGCCCCTCTTTTGCTCTAAGCCCATTCCTTTCCCAAACTTAACCCTTAAAGCTTCATGTTTGTTTCTGTACCGATTATTATCCATTCTTATAGATCAAATTTTTTCCTTAAATCTGATCAGGAAAAGGCCAAAAATACTGTTCTGTGATTTGTACTTTTTTTTTTTTTTTTTAAGTGTTTTGAGACAGAGACTCACCACGTAGTTCAGTCAGCCCTTGAACTCACTATGTAGTCCAGGCTGGCCTCAAACTCAAGAGTGATCTTCCTGCCTCAGCCTCCTGAGTGCTGGAATTACAGGCATGTGCCACCACGCCCAGCTGTACTCTTTAATACCACTTTAGTCCTGTATTCTTTCACCCTGTTTAAAGGCTGTATATGAATCTATATTCTATTCATCATAGTTTCTTATCCACTATGTTATAAAAATTTGTGGTTAGCCCAACTAACACATTGGGGATGGTGGGAAGGAGTGGTTCAAGACCTGATACAAGGGAACTCTTTGGTGGATGTGTCTCTAACTACAATGCCTCTCCACTGTGGTGAGGGCCCAGGACTGTGATCAGCCCAGCCAGAGCTGAAAGGATTCTACTGGCTTCTCTAATGCTCTAGAGCTTTTCCCCACCAACACTATGGAAGGCAGGATGGAACACAAGTTGCACACCATAGATCCATACCTTAGGGAGACACATCAGGTACTAAAAATGACTGGCAGTGATTTGAGAATGTCAAGGTAAGCTTAAATCCTAGAAAACAAACCCATGAAGAGAACAGGGCCTACAAAGGTACAGGTTAGTGCCAACTGTTACAAAGCTATTTAGAATAATTAACAATAAACAATGTTGAGATTACCCATAAAGATGGCAGTTTATTGGATTGCAATTCTTAACTTTCTACCCCCAATTTTTCCCTAAGGTTTATAGAAACTGAATATAGAACCATTTATGCAGATTTATATTCAGTACAATTTTAAGGTGTCTGGAAGATACCCAATATATGCAGATATTTTTAAAAATCTCACTAAATTTGGAGGCAAGAAGACAAAAATTAAGGGTTTTTTCTTCTATTTCCAAATTGAATTCAAGTGTATTTTGGCTCAATTCCTTCCAAAGAAGTCATTTTCCTTAAATGACCCAGAAAATGATACCAGCTATGTCAGAGAAGGAAAGGGTATTTTAGAGATTATTTTATTTTTTGAGACACTAATAAAATAGACATTATTTTATTTTTGAGACACTAATAAAATAGAAATTATTTTATTTTTTATGTTGCCCAGGCTGGCCCTGGACTCTGGTGCTCAAGCAATTCTCTTACTTCAGCCTCCCAAGTGGTTGGGATTATAGGCATGTGCCACTGGGCCCAGAAAAAAATAACGTTTTTTCTGGTACCGAAGACTGAACCCAGGCCTCTGTCTGAGCTATTTTCCCAGCCTTTCTTATATTTTATTTTGAGACAGGGTTTCACTAAGTCACTAAATTGGGTAGGCTGGGCTCAAACTTGTGATCCTACTGCTTGGGCCTCCCAAACTGCTGGGATTATAGGTGTGCACAACCACACCTGGCCAAAATGAAAATTTTTTTTCCCTTGAAACAGGGTCTTGCTCTGTAGTTCAGGCTATTCTTAAGTTATGTGGCCCAGGCTGGCCTCAAACTCACAGCAATCCTCCTGCCTCAGCCTCCTGAGTCCTGGGATCACAGGCATGAGCCATCATGCCCAGCCAAAATGGATTTTTTAAAAAAGTTTTCACATACTTTAAAACCAAAGCTTTATTTTTGTTTTTTAAAGGCCTAGATGTAAGCCAGACAGTGGCATACACCTGAAATCCCAGCTACTTGGGAAGCTGAGGAAGAAGGCCCACAACTGTGAGGCCAACCTGGACAATTTAGTGACGGGGCTGTGGCTCAGTGGTAAAGCATTTGTCTAGTAAGCACAAGGACACAAGTTCAATCCCTAGTACTACAAAAACAAACAAACAAGAAACAAATAAAGGAACTCAGCTATATAGATCAAGTGTAAAGAAGAGGTTAATTAAGTGGAAGAAGTCAGGAGGTGTTTTTACAGAGGAAAGCCTACAAAATATACAATAAATAAACAAGAGCTATTATCTTTAAAGAATTTCTAAAATGAGCACATAGAGTACTTTTGAGAGTATGTACAGCCACAGGCAGGGCACATAAATGAACACGTATATTTCAGACTGGTGCAGCACTAAAAATATACACTTTTTATTTGAAAATGGTAGTTACTCATGATACTGCTCACTGGAAAGAAGTAACCGACTATCGCTTAGGTGATAAAGCTAACCAGTTATATTTCAGACAGGTGTTTATCTCATTAAAAAATTACTGTCCCATTTCTAAGAACCATTTTTTAAAGACATTAACAGTTTATAGCTTTGACATAGGAAGCCAGAGGCCACCTATAGTACAGTTCACCACTTTTGCAGGCAGACTTGGGCACAAGTCCCAGAGCTGCAATACTTACTAGTATACATCCTAATTAACCTGACCGTTTACACATTTTACAAAATGGAGACAGTAACAGTTCTTACCTCACAGTATAACTCTATTCTTTTTTTTGTTTTGTTTTGTTTTTTTGTTTTTCTCCAGTACCGGGAACCGAACTCACGACCTTGCGCCTGCCAGGCAGGCGCTTTTGCCGCTGAGCTAAATCCCCAGCCCCTCACAGTATAACTCTAAATAGACAAAATCC